TGTGTGTGTGTGTGTACAAGTGCCAACAGAGGCCAGAAGAAGGTGTAGGATTCCCTAGAGCTGGAGCTCTAGACATTTGTGTGTTCTTAAGCCGTAAGCTGCTCTCCAGCTCCAGATTACATCATTGTCTTTATGGAATTCTGTCTGTGAAGGCAGAACTAAATAAACATTATTGCATTCTACTTTCCAGACTTCATTGGGGACCTCAGCACCTTCTACTACTATAATCCCCTGCTTCTGGGGGCCAGACTTTATTGTGTGTGTGTGTTTGTTTAATTACTTGTGTGTGTGTGTGTGTGTGTGTGTGTGTACACGTACATGTGTCATGGCTCACATGTGGAGGTCAGAGAACAACTTGCAGAAGTCAGCTCTCTCTCTCCTGGGGATTGGACTCAGGTTGTCAGGCTTCCCAGTAAGCACTTCACTCCCAGAGCCGCCTTGCTGGCCCAGCGCTGTTGTTTTGAATTTAAGCTGCCATCATTGGTGAATTACACTACTTATTTACCACTAAGAAATAAAAGTCATCCTAGGACACATCAATTGTAAAAGGCATCTTTGAAATTATTCAGAAGTTTAATTTTTTTAAAAAGATCTAACCTCCTATTTCTATTTTCACTCTGTTTACAAGACTGATTGCTTTCCTATTTAGGACAAACTTAAATGTATAGCATATTGTGGGGGTGTAGTCCAGAGAGGAATTCTGTAGGGGTTGTATGACTGTGGAATGGGTTGTAAGTGACTTGCAACTGTTACTTATACTAGTAACAAGAGGTAAAGTATAGCTATTGTTTTATGGGTAATTCTACCCTGTATTACATAGGTTGAAGCAAGAGCACTTATTACTCTTGCAGATGATACAGGTTCGATTCTAACATCAATACAGTGGCTTACAACAGTCTGTAACTCCAGTTCCAGGGGATCTCACACCCTCTTCTGACTTCAAGCAGCGGGCACACATGTAGTACACACACACACACACACACACACACACACACACACACACACATACATACGTGCACACACACATATACACATACATGCAGGCAAAATACTCATGTACATTAAAAAAAATCTAAGAAAGAAATTCAAGAGAAATGGACTAGTAGTGGTTACAACTCTGGTTTATAAGTGACAATCCTTCATTATTCAGCTTCTCACTTAACTTTTATTTCTCCCTTGCTCTACCTTACAGAATTGATGGAATCCACAAATACTAAACTGTGGCCATTGAAGCTGGCTTTGGAGGTTGCAGATTGGTTTATTTTACTTAGCTTCATTGTAGAGATCTTTCTAATGTGGATGTCCAGCTTTACTCTTTTCTGGAATAATGCCTGGAATGTCTTTGACTTTGCTGTTACCATGTTGGTAAGGAGAAATAACCTTAGGATTAGTTAATGGGACCAGCAATATGCCTTGGTAAATTAAATTAACTAAAACCTCCAGGAGGTCTTATATATATCTTATATATATAAATCTCATATATATATATCTTACTGATATATATATATCTTATATATATCTTACTGATATATATTTGTATATATATAAATATACAAATTTATCAAATTGCTGCTTTGATTTTTTTTCTCTTAAAACTAAAAGTAATTGCAGAAATTGTCATTAGGAGTATCAGCCCCTAAAATGACATCTGCTGGTTACTGAGCACTAAGTGCCGGCTACGGTTTTAATTATTTTGTGTGGATTATCTTCTTTATGTTCTGTAACAACTCAAGGAATAAGCACTAATTTAATTCCATTTTTTAAATATCTAAATAAGTTGAAGTACAGAGCTTAAATAGATTACTATAAAAAGACTAAATAGCAAGCAGTCCCCAGAGAATGCTATTCAAAGAGAACACCCAGAAAGTTCTGGAGAAGATGGCATGAAGAGGGACGGCTGCCTGGGTTCTTTGGGTAGCCTTCCTCATTGCCTCTGTCTCCCACAGTCTCTGCTTCCTGAGTTTGTGGTGCTGATGGGAGTCTCAAGGACGTCTGTGTGGCTTCAGCTGCTGAGGATCTCCCGGGTGCTGAGGTCTCTCAAACTGTTTGCACGATTCCCTCAAATTAAAGTTATTATATTGGCTCTGGCCAGGGCCCTGAAGGTAACTTACACTGGTTAACCTAAAGTGGGATGGGGGACAAGGTAGAAAGACATGGATTTACTATTTAATATGGTCCAAAAAAGTCATGAAAGGTTGTGTGAAATGTTCTTGTATGAGAACATTTGTATGTCATTAGGAGCATCAACCCCTAAAATAACCAGTACCAGTTACTGAGCACTAAGTACCAGCCACTATTTTAAATAATTTATGTGGATTATCTTTATGTTCTGGAAGAACTCAAGAGGTAAGCACTAACTTTATCCCATTTTTAAAAATATTTAAACAAGTTGATGTATAGAACTTAAAAAAAGTGAACTGCTGTGGTTTAGATTTGTGGATTTGGTGGGAGGTGGCTGTGTGGGCTTGCCTGGGCAGCTGGTGGGATCAGCCTTGCCTCACCTACCCCTGACTTGAATCCGGGCCTCTAGAGCATGACGTTCCTCCTGATGCTGCTGCTTATCTTCTTCTACATCTTTGCTGTAACTGGCGTCTACTTCTTCCAAGACTATTCCCGGTCAACTATCGAGGACCTTGAGTACAACATGTTCTTCTCGTAAGCATGGCTGAGGGCAACCTTCATGAGGGGAGAGGTTTGCGCGATACTGAGATGCTCACCCAAAGCACAGCAACATGAAAAACTAGTCTACTGTAAGAGAGTGGGATAGAATACAAAGAGAAGAAAGGAAAGACGGGTAGGAAGTAGAGCCAGCTCTGATGTGGGGCCTAGGGCAACCAGGTGTGGTTGGTTTGTTTTTTTAAGTTTTTTGAAAAGTTTAATGAAAATGTAATTGTGTCATTTCCCCTTTCCCTTCCCCCCACTAACCTCTCCCATGTCCCCTCTTCCCAACCCTCTCTTGCCCCTCCACTCCCTCTCAACTCGACAGCCTCTTTTATCACTAGTATATATGTGGCACAAATATGTAAATACAACTTGCTGAGTCTGTTTAGTGTTCCTTGTGTGTATATGATTTCAGGGCTGACCACTTTGTACTGGATCAACTGATTGGGTGATCATCCACGTGAGAGTAATCCTCCCTCTCTCCGCAGTCATCAATCAGTTGCCCTTAGTTACTTGTCTAGAGGTGGGACCTCTGAGATTTCCACCTTCCACATCAGCATATCTATTGGTTCAGGTCTTGCCTTGACAGCCATATCCTGAGATATTCTGGCTGTAGCTTCACTGTCATTCCTAGGAGGTGCACTCTCAAAGCAGACTCTGTGGTCCTCTGTCTCTTAAAATCCCCTGCCCCTCTTCTGCAATGTTCCTTAAGTGCAGGAGCTGTGTGGTAGATATATCTACTGGGACTGGGCTTCCCATGATCAATTGATCTCTGCTTTATTGGTTTTCTATACTGGTCTCTGTCTGCTGCAAACAGAAGCTTCTTTGATGCAGGGTAAGAGATACACTTACCTGTGAGTACAAGGATACGTTTTATTTTATTTATTATTTTTTTATAACTTTATTTTATGTGCATCGGTATGAAGGTGTCAGATCCCCTGGAACTGGATTTACGGACAGTTGTGAGCTGCCATGTGGGTGCTGGGAAGTGAACCCAGGTACTCTTGAACAGCCAGTGTTCTTAACCATTGAGCCATCTCTCCAGCCCAAGGATAATTTTTAAAATGCAGTTAGGAATTAGGAATTAGGCTGGTCTAGTCAAGTGGTTGTAGGTTTTCCTCTTAAGATCCATGATCTCACCAGCCTGGTGTAGTTGACTAGGATTCTAATACCAGACATGATTTGCCTCCTGTTGAGCAGGCCTTAAGACCTTAGACAGCTGTTGGTTACTTCCAAGATATGAGTGCCACTGCCACACCTTTGGGGACATCTCACCATGTTGTCATTGTTGTGGTTCATGGGCATCACAGCTGGATAAGACTACTAATTGCTTTTCTTCGTTGGAAGACTACATAGCACCTTCTGGTATTATGAAAGCTAGACTGCAGGACAAAGGCTTTCAAATTAGATCCAGCTCAAATCTTCTGAGTCTTGTGTCCAAAGTGTATCATATCTTCAGCAATAAAAACCTCTACCTTTGAGAGGCAACCAAGGACAGCAGCAATAGCCTATACTGTTTTGTTTTGTTTGTTTGTTTGTTTCTAGTTTTTTGAGACAGGGTTTCTCCGTGTAGCTTTGGAGCTTGTCCAGGATGGCCTCAAACTCACAGAGATCCACCTGCCTCTGCCTCCCAAGTGCTGCGATTAAAGGCCTGCAACACCACCACCCAGAAAATTAACCCATTTCTATTAATCTATGCATCACATGTGGCTGGTGGCTTACTGGTACTTTCACATCTAGCTTCATGGGCGGCTCGCTAGCATCTCCTCAACTCAGCCCTCTTCTCCCTGTATCTATGTTTGGATTTCCCGCCTGATTATATCCTGCCTTGCTATAGGCCAAAGCAGCTTTATTTGGCCAGTGGTAATAAAACATATTCACAGAGTAAACAAAGACATCCCACAGCAGAGATTTCTGTAGGTGTGTGCTAATACATCCAGCTGGAATCTAATTTTAGCAACATCTCAAAGGCGGTTTTGTTCTGTTTTATTTTGAGACAACATTCTCCTTTATAACCCAGGTTGGCCTTGGAAGATCTCCTGCCTCAGCCTCCCAAATACTGAGATTACTATAATTAGATACTTTCTTAGATTGTTTTATTTGTTTTGTTTTTCAGGCAAGTAGAGTTGGAATTTTCTTTGGGCTGCCAACCAGCTCCCAAATAAAAACACAGAGACTTATTATTAATTATGAATGCTTGGCCTTAGCTTAGGCTTGTCCCACTAGCTCTTTTAACTTAATTTAAACTGTTTATATTCATCTACATGTTGCCTCAGGACTTTTTAACCTTTATTTCATTCTGTATGTCCTACTTTCCTGCTTTCTCTGTGTCTGCCGGTCTGGCCCCTGCATCACCCTGGTGTCTCTTTTTCTTTCTTCCTTTTTTCTTCCCCAAGCCTAAATTCCTCCTTCTACTTACTCTTCCTGCTGGGAAGTTCTGCCCATACCTCCTTCCTCACTATTGTCTGTAGCTAGAGTTTTCCTGCCTGGCCCACAGTCAGGACAAATCTCTGTCACCTGCCAGTCCCACAGCCACTCAGACCCAATCAAGTAAACACAGAGACTTATAATGCTTACAAACTGTATGGCCATGGCAGGCTTCTTGCTAACTGTTCTTATATCTTAAATTAACCCATTTCTATAAATCTGTACCTTGCCACGTGGCTTGTGGCTTACTGGCATCTTTACATGCTGCTTGTCATGGCGGTGGCTGGCAGTGTCTCTCCTGCTCAGCCTTCCACTTCCCAGAATTCTCCTCTCTCCTTGTTCCGCCTATACTTCCTACCTGGCCACTGGCCAATCAGTGTTTTATTTATACAGAACGATATCCACAGCACTATTGTCACTTGGTTTTTTTATTAGATCAATCAGGTGCCTTAGGCAGACAAGGTAAAACAGCAACACATCTTTACACAGTTAAATGCAACACATCTTTACATAGTTAAACAAATGCAACACATCTTTGCATAGTTAAACAAATGCAACACATCTTTACATAGTTAAATATTCCAAACAGGCAAGGCCTTAACCTAAATATATAATAAAAGATGGTCTTGAACTCCTGATCATCCTCCTGCTTCCACTTTCCAAGTTCTGGGATGACAGCTATATACCATGATCACACCTCTAAACTATTTATTTTTTTAAATAAGACAGGGTCTCCATGGATGTTGTGGGGCAGGTCTTTAATCCCAGGGTGGGGGTGGAGGTGGAACAGGGTTTCACTATTTACCTCTGACTGGCCTGGAACTCACGAAGATCCACCTGCCTGCCTATTTGCTGAGTGCTGGGAATAAAGGCGTGCGCCAACACACTTGGCTTCAGCTCTTTCTTTTTCTTTTTCTTTTCTTTTCTTTTTTTTTTCTTGAAATAGAGTCTCACTATGTAGCTCAGGCTGTCCTGAAACTTACTATGTTGATCAGGCTGGCCACCATGCCTGGCTGTTAGCTCTAGACTCAACACACACTTCTGTTTAAAAAAAAAAAAAAATTGTAGCAGAGTGAGGTGGCTCATTCCTGTACTCTTAGCCCTTGACAGCTGAGGCAGGAGGATTGTTACCAGTTCCAGGCCATCTTGGTTGATGCAGTGAGTTCTAGACTATGCAAGGCTACATAATGAGACTTTGTCACAGAAAAAATAAGCTAAAAACCCACACAAGAATAGGGAAGAAGAAAATTTTAGGTACTTTGTTTTTATGGGCAAAAGATTTCAGGAAAGAGCAAACCCAGTGCCTTATACATGCTGTGCAAATGCTCTATGATGTAGCTTTAGTCCTTAATCTCCAAATAATTCATTTATGATTGTATACATTTACATTTTAAATGTTATTTGTATGTATTATCATTCATTATATGGGATTGCCATCCATTTATTTGTCTAGCAGTTGATATTGTTCTGAAACAATTACAGATATAATGTTAGATAGGAATGTTTGTTAAATTTCTTCTATTACATAAAAAAATAACATATACAATTTATATGGAGTAGGAGTCAGAGAGATGACTCAGTGGTTAAGAGCACTGGTTGCTCTTCCACGGGACTCAGTTTTAATTCCCAGTGCCCACACAGCAATTCATAATTATTTCTAACTCCAGTTCCAGGGGACTGAGTTCTCTCTTTTGGCATGCATGTGGTTCATGGACACACAAGCAGGGAAAACATCTATACACAGAATAAAAAAAAAAAAGCCGGGCGGTGGTGGCGCACGCCTTTAATCCCAGCACTCGGGAGGCAGAACCAGGTGGATCTCTGTGAGTTCGAGGCCAGCCTGGGCTACCAAGTGAGTCCCGGGAAAGGCGCAAAGCTACACAGAGAAACCCTGTCTGGAAAAAACAAAAAAAAAAAAAAAAAAAAAAAAAAGGACCAGACCTAGAGACATGGTTCAGCAGTTAAGAGCATTGACTGCTCTTGCAGAATACCTGGGTTTGATTCCCAGCATCCACATAGTGGCTCATAACCACCTGTAATAGTTTAGGGGATCTGTCCCCTCTTCTAATCTCAGGCACCAAGCATGCATGTGGTGCACACACATACATACAGGCAAAATACTCATGTACAAATAAAGAAATTAATAGACTTGTAGATCATGAGCTTAGAAAAATGGTTTTAGTTGGTGATTTGTCTTTTAAGAGTTCAGTCAGGGCTGGCAGGACGGCTCAGTGGGTAAGGGTGCTTGCCACCAAGCTGGATAACCTGATCAAACCTGGAACCTACATGGTAGAAGGAGGGAACCAATTCTTGAAAGACATCCTTTGAGTTCCAGATCTGGGCAGTGGCATGTACATGCACACACACACACACACACACACACACACACACACACACACACACACACACACCATAAGATAATGTAAAAAATTTAAAATAAAAGAATGTAGTCAGGAGCCAGGATGGCTTTAATCCCCGCATTTGGGTGGTGGAGGCAGGTGGAGCTCTGTAAGTTGGAGGTCAGCCTGGTCTATGTATTGAGTTTTAGGACAGCACACAGAGAAACCCTGTCTTGAAAAAAAAAAATCAAAACAAAACAAGAGGCTGGAGAGATGGCTTAGTGATTAAGAACATTGGCTGCTCTACCAGAAGACCCAGGTTCAATTCTCAGCACCTACATGGCAACTAACAGCTCCCTATGACTCCAGTTCCAGTGGATCCGACACTCACACAGACACACATGCAGGCAAAACACCGATGCACATCAAAGAAATCAATAGATAATTTAAAAAACACATACAAAAGAATTTAGTTAGTATGTATTTATTGAGAAAGCAGCAGCCCCAGGACTAATAAAATATTGAGAGGATTTTCATGATAAAGGGGAACATAATAAAAAGTGATTTCAGACTGAAGAATGGTTAGCTAGAAAATATGGAATATGATAGAAAAGGAGCCAAAATCAGAGCATATTACAAAGAAATGCCCTTATGTTGCTTTAAGAATAAGAATGAAGCCAGGCACAGAGGCAGGAGTTCAACTCTGTGAGTTCAAAGCCAGCCTTGTCTGCATAGTGTTCCAGTCTAGCCTGGGCTGCATAGTGAGACTCAAAACAAAAGCCAGTTTCTGAAAGGTTTGGATCTATGCTTCTGTATATCCTCACTCTGCTTTTTTAGGGACCTACCAAATTCCCTGGTGACAGTGTTCATCCTCTTCACCTTGGACCATTGGTATGCAGTACTTCAGGACGTCTGGAAGGTGCCGGAAGCCAGCCGTGTATTTAGCAGCATCTATGTGGTCCTTTGGTTGTTGGTTGGCTCCATTATCTTTCGAAATATCATAGTAGCCATGATGGGTAAGCCTGGAGGAGGTGCAACTTGGCAAGGGGGATGGTGGGAAGAAACTGGCCGTTTGGGGTTGGTGGGCTATTGGGAGAGAACCTAGTGTAGCAAGGAAGTTTGGATATTGGAATTGTTATTTCACTTTTGTCTCCCCACTTAAGCATTCTTCTTGGTCTAGTCACTATCATTTTCCAACTCCTAATGGCCCTTTGGGGCAGTTACTAACTTTCAGAATATTAGAAACGAGCTGAGTGAGGAGATGACCCACCTGGAGGTTCAGTATAAAGCTGACATATTCAAGCGACAGATTATCCAGAGGTTAGCTTCTGTGTGTTTAAACCCAGTGTTATTTCTCAACTCATTTCCTGTTTCTTTTCCTTGGCCCTATGACCTCATTTTTGCCTAAAGTTAAGAAGTCCCCATTCTACTTTTTCTTTATAAGCAATGGGGGTTTCTCTACCCCCCTTCATTACTTAGTTTTCTTTCCTTATAGATCTGAATTGTGTATTATACATCTTCTGAGTTGTAGCTTTTTTTCTAATTTTAATTTTTTTGTTTTGTTTTATAGGAGACAAAACCTGTCCCCTGAATCAGTAAGGTAAAGTAATAGCAACATGGATGACAGGTTAGGAGTAAGTATGTGAATTGGGATGGAAATATAAGAAGGAGTAGATGGTAGAAATCATCAGTACCCCCAAAATTACTTATCCATGTCCTAACTCTTTAAAACCTATGAATGTGACTTTATTTGAAAAGGGGTCTTTGCAGATGTGGTTAATCTGAAGATCCTGAAGTGGGCTGTCCTGCGTTATTTGAGTAGGTTCTAAATTAGCAACAAAGATCCTCTAGGAAACCAGGAGAAGCCATGGCAGCAGAGAATAGGTGAACGTGTGGGGTTTGTTTTGTTTTGTTGAGACAGGGTCTCTTTGTGTAGTCCTGGCTGTCCTGGAACTTCATGGCTGGCCTCAAGCTCTTGGAAAACCTCCTGCCTCTGCCTCCGAGTGTTGGGATTAAACATATGTGCCACCGCACCTGGCTGATTATTTTGGGTTTTGTGGAGATTTTTTTCTTCTTACATTTTTTTAAAATTTTGACTTGGACATAGTAGTACATGCCTTTACCAATCATGACTGGCGATGGTTGTAGTTTTAAACAGGGTAACTAGGACATCCTCATTGAAAGAAATAATGTGAGCAAAGACTTGAAGCGATGACATGTTCGTGAGTATATCTATAGTGAGAGTGCTCGTAGCAGAGAGAAGAGCTGCTGCAAAGATCCTAAACTGGAAGCGTACCTACTGTGTTTGAGAAACAACAATGCCCATTGTAAATGGAGCAGAAAAAGAGTGACGGGAGATGAGGGCAGAGAAATAATGGGTTGGGTATCAGCTACTTCTCTGCAGCTGTGCTAAAACACCATGACCAAGGTGACTTACTGAAAGGAAGAGTTTCTTTTGGCTTATGTTTCCAGAGGGAGTGGAATAATGACAGAGGGGGCATGGCAGTGGGTAGCCAGAGCAGGAAGCTGAGAAACCACAGCATTAACTGCAAACATGAAGCAGAGAGAGTGATCTGGAAGTGGGACAAGGCTGTGAACTCTCAAAATCTGTCCCTCGTGGCATACTTTCTCCAGCAAAGCTCCACTTTCTGAAGTTTCCACAACCTTCCCAAATAGCACCACCAACCAGGCACCAAGTGTTAAAATACATGAAACTGTGGGAGACTGTAGGCAGAGTTCTTTGATGGGCTCCCCAAATGACCACACAGAGACATTATTAATTATAAATGATCAGCCGATAGCTTAGGCTTGTTACTAACTAGCCCGTTCAACTTAAATTAACCCATATTTCTTATCTATGCTCTACCACATGGTGGTACCTTCTTTCAGTGCAGCATATTCACCTCCTGCTTCCTCTGTGTCTGACTGGCGACTCTGACTTCCTTCTTCCCAGAGTTCCCTCAGTTTGGCTCTCCTGCCTAACCTCTTTCTGCCTGGCCATTGACCAATCAGTTTTTTTTTTTTATTATCAATGAAAGTAACACATCTTCACAGTGTACAAAAGGATTATTCCACAGCAGGAGGCATTGCTCATTCAAACCATCCCAGCATGGGAACATGATTCTGTAGGGATATAGGCGGTTATTGTAGGCTCTTAGAATCTTATTTATAGCAAATGGAAGCAGAGCTGAGGAATGGCATGAAGTGATTTACATTTAAAAACAGGATCTTCTGTTGGACTAGTATGGGAAGGAAGAGATCAGTTATGAAAGATACATTGGGGATGGCTGAGCTAGGAAGTTCCTAAGCCTAGAGTCTGAGAACAGTTTGGCTCTTAAAGCTGTAAATCAAAGCTTTAGGGATGGCTAGGCTCATAACCAGCATAATAAGTGGACTATTATATCTTGCAAGTATATTTGAAGCAATAAAATTTATTTCTTTATGTACAGAGAACCGAGTCAAGGAAAGCGCTCTGAAGACTTACTAGAGCCATCTAAAGGGTCTGGAGCCAGTGATGCTGAAAACACTGATGATGAGAAAAATGATACCGAGAGAAGTGATGCTGATGAAAGTGATGCTGAGAGAAGTGATGCTGAGAGAAGTGATGCTGAGGAGAGAAGTGATGCTGAGGAGAGAAGTGATGCTGATGAAAGTGATGCTGAGAAAAGAGATGCTGAAGCTAAGAAAGGGCGAAAAGAATCATCAAAATCGAAAGTCTACCCAGCCCCCGCTTCCAACTCTTTATCCTCCTACGGTTCCTCTGTAGCCGATTTTGATTTTGTTGGTAAGCAGAATGGGTCCTTCCATTTGAATCCAGGTTCGTCTTGCTTAATTCAACCACGGTCATTGTTTTGCAGCCCAGGATGACTTCAACCCTCAATTGTCCTGCCTTATGCTCCATACAACGGGAGGGCGGCTTGCATAAGACATCCATGTTGTCACCACTTCCTCCCCTCTCTCCTTTTCCCCCCCTCCCCTTTTACACTTACACTGTAGCTCAAGCTAGCTTAGAACTCACTGTGTAACACTAGCAAGCCTAGTGTCTCAACCTTCCAGGCTCTGAGATTGCAGGTGTGTACCACCACATCTGGCCTAGACATGTTTTTAAGAAGCGTTCTTCCTTACAGATAATTTGGACTGGGAGACTCTTGTGCATGAGAACCTGCCTGGGTTAATGGATATGGATCAGGACGACCGTGTTGTTTGGCCCAGAGATTCACTTTTCCGGTATTTTGAGTTACTGGAAAAGCTTCAGTATAACTTGGAGGAGCGCAAGAAGTTGCAAGAATTTGCAGGTGAGAACTTAAGGCAGTCCTGGGGTCCAGAAGTTTTAAGTATATGAAAGTGGCGCCTTAGCCTCAATTACTCCTGCTACTACTCTAAAGCAGTAATTTAGAAAAGAGCTAGAAATAACCTCCACCAGAGGGCGCTCATGTCTTACAAGATCTGAAAGCTTGAGTCTTAGGAGGCTATTACTAAATTGGTGTTGTTGAGATCAGGCCAAGGTTTTGTGTGTGAATGTACATGTGTGCATTGTGACACAGAAAAGCCATAGGAACGTATAACATTTAGGGGTCAGCAAGATGGCTCAGTGAGTACAGGTACTTGTTACCAAGCCTAATAACTGGACGGAAAGAGCCAACTTCTGAAAGTTGTCCTTAGATCTCCATGCTGTGCCATGGAGTTCAGAGCAGGATATCAAAGACTGTTTCTTTCTGTATCAAAATGTTACCTGAGGTTAGTTCTTTTCTTCCCAGTCATTCTTAGCCATATTCTGGTAGAGAGAGACAACATGGAGGAAGGAAGAAGCAGAAAGGAACTTTTTAAATTTTTGTTTTGTGAGTCAGGGTCTCACTCGTAGGTTTTTGCTTGTTTTTCGAGACAAGGTTTCTCTGTGTAGTTTTGGTGCCTGTCCTGGATCTCGCTCTGTAGGCCAGGCTGGCCTCGAACTCACAGAGATCCGCCTGGTTCTGCCTCCCGAGTGCTGGGACTAAAAGTGTGCGTCACCACTGCCGGGCAGTAGTTCTTCATTATGTTGCTATATATAACCTAGGCTGGCCTCAAATCCCAGCAATCCACTGCCTCACCTGTCCAAAACACAGCCCAAAGTTATCTGTTTATCCACCTCTTCTTTCCTTCCTTCCTCCCTCCCTCCCTCCCTCCCTCCCTCCCTCCCTCCCTTCCTTCCTTCCCTCCTTTCTTTCTTCCTCCTCCTCCTCCTCCTCCTCCTTCATCGTTTCACTATGTAGCTGTGACTGGTCTGAAACTCATTATGTAGACCAGACTGACCAGGAATTACAGAGATCTTCCTGCCTCCTCTTTCCAAGTACTGGAGTCCAGATCTTTAAAAAATTATGTTTGAAGCTTTCGTACAAGTGTACATTAGATGTTCAACATCCTACATTCCTTCTTTGCTTCCTGGCTTCCTTCCTTCCTTCCTTCCTTCCTTCCTTCCTTCCTTCCTTCCTT